TAAAAAAAAAAAAAAAAAAAAAAAAAAAAAAAAAAAAAAAAAAAAAAATATAAACCCTAAACCCTAAACCCTAAACCCTAAACCCTAAATATAATATATATCTTATAGACACTTGGGTAGGGTTATCTATGGAGGTTAGGGTAACCCTAACCCTAACCCTAACCCTAACCCTATACACTAATTCTGTAAACCCTTGAATAGGAAACAAACCCTTTTTAGTAAACCCTAATTATGAAACCCTTGTAAAGAAGACTATTATTAAACGCTAAACCCTAAACCCTAAACCCTAAACCCTTACGAACCGAGCATAATTCTTTGATTTCTTTTTTCATTTTTTTTTTCCATTCTTCTCCTTCTCCATCAACAAAAGGTTGTACACGATCTCTTAATTGTAGTGCTAATAAAACCTCTCTTTTTGTTTGCTCATTATCTATTGCCTTAACTACACCCTCACGTACTTCTGTGCTGCCGTATCCTCCTTCTGCTGCCTGCATAAACACCAAATTAGGGTTTATAGCACACAACAATTCGGGTTCACAGCATACAACAATTAGGGTTTAGGATTTCTAGCGTTTTTTTGGGCTTTTCTATGGTTTCCTAGGGTTTAGGGTTTACAACTCTAGGGTTTAGGGTTTTGCAAATTACCGCATTAAGGATATCATCTTGATTTAAAACTTCCAACAATTTGGCCATCTTCAGCTTTCCTGCAACCAAACCCTAAACCCTAAACCCTAAACCCTAAACCCTAAACCCTAAAACTATATCATGGAGTATCTAGGGTTTAGCTGCATCTGCATGATGATGATGATGATCATCATCCTCTAACAAAAGTATCAATACAAGTCAACAACCTCTTGGCATCTAATTAGGGTTTCCTAGGGTTTATTAGGGTTTATTAGGGTATATTAGGGTTTCCTATGGTTTATGTACCAATATAAGGATCTAATTGTTCAGATCCATATAGCATCATAAAGAAGAGAGCAGGATCAATAAAATGAATACTTTTTGTTGCATTTACACCATATTTATCATATTCTTCTCTCCTTTTTGGATCATTTAATACTTGATATGCTTCTCCTATAAAATAAATAAATAAAAAAAAAAA